GGGGTTTGGGAGGGGAAGAATTCCCCTTAGCTCCCTGGGGCTGCAAGACCCTGGGCTGGGTGGGGGATCCCTGGCACACCCATGCTGTGCTGCAGGGGCAGGCACCCAGCCAGGAGAACTCCTTCTCCCTCCCTCTGGTGGCAGCAGCTAAAGCAATCAGCAGCTGTGAGGGGGAGAAATTCCCCCTCAGCTCCCCAGGGCTGTCTAGGCTGGGGAATGCTCCCCCAAAGTGAGCCAGCACCCAGACAGCAGGCTCCTTAACCCCCTATGTGGGGATGGTAGGGGGTTAGGGACATGTACTGAGGAGCCAATTGGGGACACTTGGCTGGGCTGGCAATGGCCAGTAGACTGGGAGATGTGCTCTAGCGCCCCCTGCCTACTGGCCTCGGTCAGTGCAGGCCTCTCCCTGCCTTTCCCAATTGAAAACTGAATGTCAGTTCAGTTGGTTATCGGTTCAGTCGCAGCTTAGAGGAATGCCTATATTGAACTGATTCTGCCTTGGGCTTTTTGAATGTCTATACTTAGCCATAAAGCCTATACAATGAATGTTAAATTGTTTTCTTTCTGCTATGTTGTCATTAGAATTTTAAAAAGTTCATGCAACAGAGGTATACATGCTTCAACTTTAAAACCCATTTGGGAAAAAGAACATAAATCTTCAGTATTTTCTTAAGTAAAATATTTTATTATCTCTAATTCAGCATTAAAAATAAGTGTAATGATTGCCAAAAAGCTTGCAGCATGAAGGATTGCACTGTTCAGAGGAAGCAACTGAAACATATAAAGGGATCTAACAAAGAGTAGAGGACATCAAAGAGCATAGATCATCTTTACAAGAGAGATAAGGGAGAAAAAAGGAGTCTCAACAGGGGAGAAGCAGTGTCTAGAATTTAAAGAAGAAACCAATTGCTAAAACTGCTCCCTTGGTAATTCGCCTTCTTCTCTTTGCTCTTACCCTATATTTGAGCCTTGGCTCACAGAGCTATACATTCATGTTATATAGCAATTTTAAATATACAAGTGTGATAGTTTTAAGAGGTAAATGTAAAAACAGAATCTTTGCATTGGCTGTTTAATGATGGCATGCAAATATCTGAAGGTTTAGTCCTACGTCACTATTATAGTATTACCATGGTAACTCACCAGGTTTGTGTTTTAGCTTGTATTCGAGTTCAAAGCTTATGGAAGTTGTCTTTTAGAAAGAGACATAAAGATTAGACTAGGGTGTGCAGTTCAAGGGGTCATGAGGAGGATTGTGTTTACTCATTGAATGCTTTCTGGAAAAAGACTTTTCTAGCATCTCATCAGCCCTACAATGCTAAGAGGGAAACTAAATCAGGAATATGAGCAGCATAGAAAGTCTGAAGGCGCTAAGACCTGGAAGACTATTGAGGAGGTAGTAAATGTATTTCTCTTTCTCCATTCATGGGGTTATTTTTTTATATTTGTTTTGTTTGAACAGAGATTCTTGTATACTATGGTCTGTAGCTTTTTTTTTTTCTTAAAAAGTCTTCATACCACAAGCCATATTGCTACCCTGCACCTAAAATGGATAGCCAAGGATGTTGGTGTGCTACTTAAAAAGAGCTATAAACTAGCAGTGGCTAGTGGCAAGACAGACTATTTAAAAGAGGATCTGAAGTCTATTTCAGTACAGAATCAATAGATGCTCGTAAAATCAGAATGATGTCATTTACGCAAAATACAATGACAAACTTCTGAGACAAACATTAATTAATTAATCTTAAAACTTCAGTAATTATAGCAAAATGTACAAATTACACACCACTTCACTGCTGGGGTTCAATTAAAATAGGGCCAAACAGCTCCAAATCCCATACTCCAAAGAGAGGGAAAAGAAAGCAGCAAACCACAACCACACTCCTTGCTTTGTAACATCTTATGAATCTGATGTCACTTCAAAATGGAACATGCTGCTGAATGGGAGATAAAGTCCTTTAAAAAAAGAACAGATGATAAAGAGAAAAGTGTACAGCAAAGCTGGTGTGTGAGCCCACTAGAACCCAACAACCAATTTAAAAAACAAAACAAAAAAAAACTTAGTTTGTAGTGAAGTGTTAAAGCATTACTGCAAGAGTGACTACAGAGAGAAAAGATCAGAAGGAAGACAGAATTTTTTAGGGACAGACTTACCTAAAAAAAATATCCCTAAGATTTAACTTAGGGAAGGGAAGGGTTAAAAGAGGCTCTAAATAACCAGCCTAACACTAATTTGTTATGGCAGTAAACCTGAATAGAGTTGATGTGATGAGGAACTGAAATTGCTTGCACGTTAACTCCATATGGTTAAGGGCTTAAAACCTTTCAAACCAAGTCTGCTCTGAGCTGTGATGTTGATATTGTTCCTCCCATATTTATTTATTTTATCAATTAGAAATATTTCTTTCAGACAGGGCCAAGCTAACTTGTTTCAATGTCTTAAATTAAACCAGAAATTAACTGACTAATGCTTCCAATAATGAAATGTTAATATTAGGCCTACACAATATTTAAAAAGTTCTGTATGATTTAAACATGCTCTTTTAACCATACTAACACAAGAAAAGAATAAATATGGTACTCAATGTAAAGCAGGGAGATAGATGGCCCAGTTTCTCAATCTGAGATTCATTAGCATTTCCTTATGCCACTTAGGTAAGAGACAAACATTAGGTAATGCTTTCCCTGTATTTCAGGCATGAGCCCAACTAGATAATTCAATCATTAACTTAACCAGTCATGGTTGATTTTTTGTCTGGATATTTAACATTAAAGAACAGCTCTGAACAGATTGTCATTAAAGATCACCAAAAGAACACTTGGCCTTCTGTAAAATACAAGAAAATCCATGTATTTCAACTATCACTCCTATCCGTTATTTTGAAGTTAAATTAGATAGCAGAGATATGATTTACTTCTTTGTCTAAGGCAACAAGCCATCTTTAGTAATCTGAAGAGAAAGCAACATACCAACTAATTGATGCTCCCAAAATTACAATCAATCTAGGGCAGGGCTGTCAAACAAACAGCCTGTGGGTTGTATCATTTGTAGAGCCATGTCATTTGGCCCAGGAATTCAGGGGAGAGGGGAAAAGGGACAGGGACCAATGCCAAAACCTAGCATATGAAGCACCATTAGGGATGAGTGTCAGCAACAGGGGTAAGCACTGGCTGCATTAACCCCTACAGCTCCCTGCCTCCCATTTGCCCAGCTCCTGAGAGAGTCTGGGGTCTGGATCTAGTCCCCAAGGGGTCTGTGGTTTAAATCTGGCTCCTAAGGTTAGGGACAGAAGGTACACATAAATCAGCTTAAGTGATCAAAGACTGATTTAAACCTGTAACAGAACAGAAGTTCAGTGTAGTTAAACCACTTTCAAAATAGCCCTGGGCTATGCTGTCTGCTCCAGGGGAGCAGGGTCTACCCCAACCCCTCTGTTCCGCAGCTGGAGCACTATTTCTCTGACTGACTAAGGAGGGGGTAGAGGTAGGGGAGCAGACCGCCACCTGACTACTACTGGCACAGGGAGGGGGGTGGATTGCCAGACCGCCAGTTGGATGCTGCTGACATACAGAGAGCGGGGAGCCTGCAATGGAGGACTGACTGCCCCCAGAGCCATGCTCCCTTCTCAGTCTCTGGGCTGGCTAGGGGTGGGGGTATGGGGAAAGAAGCTGGCACTGGGGCTTGACTCTGCCCTGAGAACTGGGACCCAAGAATCATGCCCCCTCCTCAGCCTCTTGCCTGGCTGGGGGTGGTGGGGGAAGCCTGCAGCAAGGGGGCTTCATTTTGCCCCTCCACCCCCAGAGCCAGGAGCCATACTACCTCTTGGCCTCTGGGCTGGCTGGGGGCAGAGGGAGAGGAAGTCCTTAGCAGGGGGCTTCGCTCCAACCCAGAGTTGGGAGCCGGGAGCCAGGAGCCAAGCCCCAGCAAGGGCTTCACCCCCGCAGTCCTCAACTGGCTGGGAGGCTGAAGAGGGTATGGCTACAAGACTCTAGCCCCACTCTGGTTCCCAGCCCCTATCCACCCTCCCTGAGCTGGCCCCCAAGGCAGAGTAAAGCCCTTGGTTCAAGCACCCCATGCTGGGCTGCTCCTGGCTGGGGGTTTGGTGATGGGCTGGAGAGGTGGGTTTTCCCCCTCACCCACTCCTCCACTGCCTAGGGGCTGAGGAGGGGGTGTGGCTGGGAGGCCCTGGCTACTGGTCTGGGCTATTGCAGGGGTTTGGCTGCCTTTCCTGTCTGAAAAGTAAACATCAGTTCACTTGCTTATTGGTTCAATCTATGCAGTTTAGAAAAACCTGCAAAGATTGAATCGATTCAGCCTCAGGCTTTTGGACTGTCTGCACTTAGCCTAAGAAGCTAAGTGAGTTTGAAAGCCCTGATCTAAAGGATTCCCAAAGATTCTTACTGAAGTAGCAATTTGGGGAGAATACTGGTAGGTCCTTCAGGCTTTGAAAAAGATTTTAAGAAATCTTGGGAATCTAGCCTTCACTACCCTTAAGGTCAGAGACATCGTGTGGTTTTCAGAACCTGTGGACTTATCCATAACCTGGACAATGGCTAGAGTTGATTTGATATCCTAGGGCTTACCACCAAGCATCTGAGGTAGATATCATAGGGCTTATCACCAAAGAAAAAGACAAAGACAGACAAGTAACCATAAACAGAAAGATAGTGAAATATTAAGAATCAAAAGCTGAGATAGTATGAATTAGAAGGAAGCAGGATTTACTTAAGAAAATATGGAATTGCTTTGGAAACTGGTTTAACTGTTGGCCTGCCAGGATTAAAAATCACAATTATAACAATTTTGAACAGAATTAAACTTCAGCCTTAGTAACCCAAATAACCTGAATAAAGTTTTGAAGACCATCGTCTGTATTTTCCTCCATGTTCCCTGTTGTTCCAAGCTACATACACATTCCAAGTTTGTTTTTTTTAATCAAGTATTTAATTCAGGAGAGCAAAAGCATCCAATTTTAGATAATAAAAACTAATTCACAAAGAAGAGTTTATTTCTATTTATCTTTATGCATACATGATGCTTCAAAAATAGTGAATGAATTTTATAATATATAATGAATTTTATAAGCCTCTCTCAAATCTCAGTTTATAATTCATGTGGGGTATAATTTACCCAATTATAAAAAATAGTTTTTATCATACCTCAATATAAAAAGTTATGTATGTAATTAGATTTAATACTTCCCTGAATATAAACTTTTAAGCTTAACATATGCTCTAAAAGGAGGGAAGTAAATCAATCAGATTTTCAGAAATCTTAAAAGTACTTTTTACAAGTTTTCCCAAACTACAATTACTGGTCATGTAGAAAGATATGTCTTCTTTGATAAGCCTGAGGGCAACAGATCTAAATGCCAGTTACAGTCTATGCACTTATCATACTTTGCTTAGGAAACTTTTAGCTCTAGAAACTGTTAAGAGCAAACAATAAACATTAAAACAGTAGTTGAACATTAGACCTTTGCAAAGTATCTATTTTTTTATGGTTTCCTGGGCCTACCATGCACCAAGATATAATTTTTATTACTTTCTTATTCAATTAATTTTGTGCCAAAATACAGATTTCTATACAAGGAGAGTAAATTCTATTTACAGGTCTCCAGATTGCAAGAGTACATTCCATCAGTGTTAACATTTAGTCTCAAACTAATGCTGCACTTACACGCTGAAGCCAGCTTTAATATTGCATCAACCCAGGAATTATAAAAAACACTGTATGAGAAAAGCAACATTAACAGCAACACAAAATCCCATTCCCCCTCCAATTCTAGAATTCTAAATACGAGGAAATCAAAATCAAGAAAGCCTTTACTTATAATGCTTTCAAAGTCCTTTGTTTTTTCAAAAAGTCATTTTTTCCCCAATGTCTCTTGATAGGCAATGAATCTTCTCAAATTCATTTTTATATTGTCTAGGACGCACAACTGGTCCGTGCTGTACTGTTTTTTTCCTTCTTTCCGTATCTGCAATAAATATAAATATTGCAGAGAGAGAGAGATTATTACACACACACACACGAGAGAAGGCAAATCTTTCAGACTGGATCAGCCAATTTTATAAGAACTCTGATATCCTCTGGCAGGACACTACTGTCTTGCACTCTTTCACAAGCACATGCTTGTACACACATGCATGCATGAGCACACACATACACACACACTTTTACACAGACTGAGCAATTTATGTTCTAAATCCTTTTACTGCTCACCTATAATAAAAGTAGTCATTACTAATAACATATTTACTTGAATCTAAGATGACCCTCCCCCCCACCCCCAACAGCATGGGGGAAAACCCCACTCATCTTAGATTCACCTATGGGGGGGCGGGGGGAGGTCAGGCAAGTGCTGGAGCTCTTACTCTGGTCCTGAGATCAGGTCAAGGCCAGACACAGACCCAGACAGCTAGCTGCCTGCCTACCCCCACCCCACCCCCAGCTTGCCCTCTGCAGCCCGTCTTACTGTCAGGCACAGTTCAGCTCCTGCTCAGGCTGGATTCCCTCCTGGGTAGGGAGCACATGGAAACTCTATCACCTGCCCCACCAATCAGCAGCAACTGCACTGCTGCATAGCCTGGCAAGGCCTGCACTTCCGTGTGCTGTACTCCGGGGAAGGAACAGAGTCCAAGTAGCAATTGAAAATAAAGGGGAAGGAGGGAAAAAAAGCAGAGACTGCAGGGAGTGTGTGTGTGGGGAGCAGTGACTGGGGGGAGATGCCTGACTCCCAGCTACTGCTCTCCTTGTGGCGGGGGGAGGGAGGGGGGGGAAGTGGACACACAAATTCAAGACAAACCCCCCAGTACTTGATTCTATCTGGAAAATTATGAACAAGTTGATAAAATTTCCATATACAGAATTTAAATATTGGGGGGCTGTCTTGAATTCAGGGTCATCTTAGATTTGAGTATATACAGTAACTGACCCGTGACATTCTCAGCATCTAATTTCACAGATGGATCTGAAATGTGCTTTTATCTTCTATAGCCATTGTAGTGAAAAGATCTAAATATTGGACTTTTTATATATTCTGTAAGTAATACAAAGCAGTTGTAGATTTGATAAAAAGTTGATTAGTGGAGCCTGGCACCTACTTCTGATAGTCAGAATGTTATACTCCAGAATGCCAGGCCAGTGGATACTATGCAACCCAACAACTGCAAAACTAAAAATTAAAGAGTTTAAAAATGATATACAGGCAATAACTTATTAAGTTCACTCCAGTGTGTAACCCAATTCATGAAACATTCTTTTCAATAATTTGCATTTTTTCTAAACATACAAATATTTAAATTTGGTGAACTGGAAATTTCAGTCTGTATTCTCAAGAAAGGATTATTGTTTAGCTAAACAGTATTTAACCAAACAGCAGCTGGATAAATATATGCACACTTAGAGATTCTCAGGTTCAAACAAACAAACAAAAAAGTCAGACTACTTTCAAAAGAAAGTTTTCTCCAGTCCCTCAAAAAGAGATTCTGTCTGGCCCTCTCTTCCTCTGAAAAATCTATCTTACCAGGATTTCAGAAAGAGATGAACAATGACTTGGACACCAACAGTGTTGCCTGATATAACATGGCATTATTTGAGTCATTATGCACATTGTTTAAAATGTGCCAAAGGAACGCAAACGCATATTAGCAAGAACTCTGAGGTTAGTGTTTTCTTCATACTGAATCCTTTAAGATTGAGTGAGCATATTTCATAATAAAATTAATTTCCCAACAGCATAAGCAACTAAACTAGTTTCAAATCTTAATCCACACTGTAAACATTGAAACCTCAAATTGCTTACTGGTATAAGGGATACCTACCCTCATTTTGAAGACTGGCTGGAATTCTTTCAGTGCTGGGAGCAATTTAATCTCAACAGCTGCTGTTTCAGCTTCTTTACCATCTGCAAAAACATCAAAAAGTGCATCCAGAGCTTCTCCAGCTACCACAAGTGAAGAGTCCTTCACAGCCACCTCAAGAAGAAATTTCCCAATCATCTGAAAGAGACATTTTTTTTTTTTTAAATAACACAACATTAAAAAAGGTTTGGCTAAACAAGTGTTTGGGTTCTCACACACACACTTTTTATATGTATATTACCTTTAGTGTTTCAGCTGAATCTTCTACTTTTGCCAGCACACTCCCAGCAATTCCTAGGATACTAACTACATTTACTCTAACACTTACATTGCTGCACTGAATTCCAGCTTCACATAAAGTTATCAGCTGCTCAGGAGTTATGCACTGTTTAAAAAAAAAACAAGAAACAAAAGGCACTTGTCAGATGCATTTAAAACTTCCAAAGGAACACTACTATAAGACTAATACTTAAATCATATGTTTTCATAAAAGATATTCAGACAATCCTACATCAGATAATCAGCACAAATATTATGAAACATGTGAATCCCGAAGCATAAAGATAAAGTGTCCTTGTACTCTTCGAGCTATTTCTCCAGAACAATCTTGAGGCTTGTTGTTCTGGCCCAGCAGAAGAAAAAAAATAGAACCATAAACTACTGTTCAGTTAATCCTTAAAGTGCCAACCTACCTTGCTTTCTGCCTGACTTCAGACCAACTCAGCTAACTACCTCTCTCTATGCCATTAGAGTTCACAATACAGAAAGGCTTTATTCATAGAGTTTAATGTCAAAAGAAACTGTTAGATCATCTAGTCCAGGGGTTGGCAACCTACCAGGAGTGGTGGGTTGAATTAATGCAGCATGGTCTGAAGATAGGCTACCACTTGTGACCCAGCTGCTGCTGCATCCCCCACTCCCCAACTGCTGCTACTGCGCTCATGACATGACTGCTGTTAAATACCATCAATTCCCACCATCCTCCAATTGCCAGTGACACCCTACCTTGACACCAGCCAGATACAACTACATGGCAGGCCACGTACAGCTTGCCAGCTATAATTGTCAAACCTTCATCTACTCTAACATCCTATGAAAACTATGAAAGGACCTCATGAGTTTAGTAGCCCACTGAGCTACTGTGGTTAATGCAAGGTTTCTAAAATCTGTGTCACACAAGGCAACAATGTGGTCAACCTACTACCTGGCCACCTTTAATGCCCCAGCTCAAGTGACCCATTAATAGCTGGATTGACCAAGGAGGGTCTTTGGCATCAAGCCATTATAGTTATTTTTGTTACCCTTATATTAATCCGAAATGCCACACGTGCATGACAGGAAGCTCAATTCTGGGATCCAGCATCACATCCTATCACACCTCATTGCCACTGTAGGGGAAGCTCAGGATTATATCAGCTGGGGGACTCCCAGCCACAGTAGTGCATGATGCACCCCTCCAAATGACAGCCAAGTCAGTTTACGGGGCTCCTAGCTAAAGGCACAGACCCTGCTACACATGCAAATTAAAGTTGGATAGAAACCAGCTATAAAATTATTACACATTTTCCAGCTCTAATTTTACAGCTGGGTGCACCCTTTTAAGACATGATAGTTAATTTGCACATGTAGCGGGTCTAAATAAACTGTGCAATTAACTAGGTAATTGCATAATCCATGTAACATGTAGAGGGGGCCTTCTGCTGAAAACTAGGAAGACTGGAAAAAAGTCTCTCACCTGTGATATGTTCTTTGATGCCATTGTTTGCAAGAGAGCTCTCAAGGCACTAGTTACAGCTTCTAGGAACTCAGCGTCTTTAGGAAATACTGTCCGAAAACAAAACAACACATAGCCAAAACAAGCTTCAAATTATTTTAAAGACATTCCAAACTGAAGAAAAACAAGGTTCCTTTTTCTGCGCCAGCCTCTTCCATCTATTAGGCACTACTGAATATTGAAAGCTAAATTTTTCGAGACTAGACTTTTAGACTTGCAAGGGGAAACCATAATTTTGTGTTCAAGATCAACTGTGCCTGCAACAGTCACAGATTATGCCTAAAAACTAAGACCAGAGATACCCAAGATTAGGATGTTGAGTGACCCATGTATCAGCACAAAATTGCAATCAGAAAATCAGAAACCAAATTAAGGTTTGGCTGAGCACTGGCACCAAGCACCCCAACATCGGAGGCACAACTGCAATACTAACAGGATAACCAAAGGGGAGCTTCATGTGTATTTTAAAACGTAATCCCAGATCTCTTAAACAGGTTTGAAGGACTGTCATGCTTTTGGATTTGAAGTTCTAATCTAATCCCAGAATACTGACCTCTCTCTTTGGGACCTGTATTCTTCCCTGTGAAGCAATAAATACTGGTTCTGTGATTTAAGTTGTTCTCATTGGGGGTGTCTACACGAGACACTACGTTGCTGTAGCATCAGCAGGCACGAACCGTGACGCCACCACTACTGCATAGTAGCAATAAGCAATAAGTCAATCGTTGCTATTGCACAGTAAAGTCAAGAAAACGACCTGTGCAGTGCTGGGACTCTGCAGTACCAGCTAAAACAAATGCTAAATGACTGCGCAGTAACAGCAAGTGCAGTTGGACACACATGTAGATGCTCACATTAACTAACAATTAACTGCCCAACAACACCAATTATCTTATTACATGTATATTAATGTAGTACTTTTTATAGTCTCATTTTACTCTTCTTAGGCTGCTGATCGCAGACTCATGCCAAAATAATAGCTTGTTTCTCGTCAAACTAAGCAGCTAGGCCCCTGTCCCGCAGTCCACGTAATTCATCAGGTGTTATAGGACTTGCCTGAACCTACTTTGTCTTAACATGTTATCTACTATAGCTGGGAGCAGCTCATCCTACAAATCTCACCACAGCAGAAAATGAGGGGCTAATATTTCCGTATTAATGTAAGCAGGCTCCTTTTAGCTGTTCTTTTTTGGCACCACATTTCTTCAACTGTTCACTTCTCAAAACACTATTTAAAAGCTTTCTTTATTCTGATTATTGCGCATTGCAACATGTAGAATCACAGAGATCACAATCCTGCTCCTGAAGTATGCAACAACCTATACACACACACCTTTTTTTAGAAGATTTTTACACTGAGCACCATACCATATTGTGCATTTTGACATGTGATGGCCTTTCACAGCCTGGGCTCACAAAAGCTTATGCTAATATCTATCCATCCATCCATCGATAGATAGATAGATATATATCTATCTATTGCTGGCAGCTGTGAACTAAGAGTTCTGGGCAGGGGGAACAGGGGGATTCCTAAATGTTGGCTAAGAGATTGAGAATTATTAAAGTCATGAATAAGCTAAGTTTTTTAAGCCCTGTCTTATGACTAACATACTTTTCAGTCAGTTTCCAGAACTCTAACAGGCTTTTACTGCTCAGTGAAAGCAAGTCAGTGATGTGGATACAAACAATTTTCACCAATTTTAAGAAACACTCTACTAAAATACAGTTATATTAAGTGATTCAGATCGCCAACAGTGTTAAACTACCTGTGGTATTCTGATCTGCACTAAGCCTCCCAATATGCTGCTGTCTTGACATTTCTGTGAAGTCTAATCTTAGTGAAGTGTCCTATTTTAAAACATCATTTTTGTAAGAACATCATCCATTAGACTGTCTTCATTCAAAAAAAAACCAAAACAAAACAACAACAACAACAAAAACAGACCACTACTATTCTTGGAAATCTAGTAAACAGCTTCTACGCCTAGTTTAAAAACAAAATGTTAAATTCTGTTACACCTTTAAAAAACTTGCCTAACTGCATTTTCCAAACTACACACCTACATGCATAAGCCAGGTCCCACGAAACATAACAACCCTTTCCCCTTCTCTATTGTAATAAACACATTAATTCTGGAGTTGCCTGATGTGACCACTTTTTGAAAAACTTCCTTTTGCTCAAAATATGCTACACGCCAATGCTGTACACGATCAGGGCTCTCCTAGAAAAACAGGCCACATCAGTTTTGGGCATGGCAACTTATTGCCAATATCAAGTATTCCTGCATTCAGAAGGTGGTGTTCAGAAGGGAACATAAAACACAATGGAATTGCATGTTAATTATAATAGAGGCAATCAAACCCTTTAACAATATGATCTGAAATTTACCTGACTGAGAAAAAACTAAATGGGACAGGTGCTGTGAAAGTGACTGAAGTGCCGAAGATCCTCCAAGGCAATCCACATCTGCTACTAACAAAATGCTATGGAGACATGTTAGAGCTCTACATTGGACCACATTCAACCTGGAATAAACAGCAAAAAGAATGCCTTTAGTGACTCTGTACATTAATAATCTTTTTTTTGAGAAAGCAAAGAACTTACATTCCAATAGGAAGTCTGGACAGAGGATATAATTTATGAGATCACTTGAGATAATGTACTTGCAGGGAAATATTTGTATTTTGTTACTGACTCATACTGTAGGAAGCCAGTATGGTCCAGTCTTGAGGGTAAGCCAGCACAGGCCTTTCCTTGTAATGCCAAGCCTTCAATTTCAATTTTACGTTTAAAAAAAAAAAAAAATCTATAAATACTAGGGCTGTGCGAAGCTTCAAGTGCCAATTCAATTCAGAGGAAATTCAGCCCGATTCGGTGGCCGAATCTCCAAACCCGAATCAAACCAGGGACAAATAAAAAGGTCTGAATCGATTTGAACCCCTCCGAATCTTCGGAAAAGAGTCGGAGAGCTTCGATAGTTCGGGCAGTCCCCGTCCGCTGGAGCTGGTAATTAGGGGCAGGGGAGGGGAGGCTGGAGGGGACCCTGGAAGGACCCCTGCTAGGTCCCATCCCCTGCCTGCTCCCCCAGTCTGTCCGTCCATCCCCATTCCCTCCCCCGGGCGACCCCCACATGCACCCCCAGCTGCCCCACCCACCCCAGCTTCTGGTGCTTTAAAAAAGAAAAAGCCCCCACTCACCGGGTGCTGCCAGATGAAGGGCGATTCCCACTGCCCCCCGCTGCATGGGGGGGCTCTGCATGAGCCCCCCGACCCTCCCCCAATGTCACAGCCCCCCCATGGCTGTCTTGCCTGCCCCAGCTCTGGCCTTTTAAGAAAAAAAACGCCCAAAAAACCCTCCGAACTCACCAGCTCCTGGAGCAGCCTCAGAGCTTCAGGGGGCTTGTGGAAAAGCCCCCCACACGGTGTGGAGCAGTGGGGGTCACCCCCCGCCGGGCAGGCATCAGTGACACCGGAGTGTTTTTTTCCCCCTTAAATGGCTGGAGTTGGGGCAGGCAGGGCATCCATGGGGAGAGCTGGGAGGTCAGGAGGCTCATGGCAGAGCCCCCCATACAGCATGGGTCAGTGGGGGGCAGCAGGGATCGCCCCCCCACCTAGCAGGACCCGGTAATCCAGGGCTTTTTTTTTTTCCAAAGTGCTGGGAGCTGGGGCAGGTGGGACACCATTGCCAGGCTGGGAGAGCGGGCACAGGATGGGCCTGGGTGATTCAGCCAAATCAATTTGGGACAGTGATTCAAATCATCAAATCGAATCACTGTCCCCCGAATCGGCCAAATCCAAAGCGAATACTAGCCACTTGACACAAGCCTAATAAATACCCTGAAAATAAAGCATGTCAGTAAAATACCTACTTTTTAATTAATGGTTTCCAAGATGGGCTATGTGCACAGAGGTCTACAGCAACACTGTTTGGAAAAGCAGTTTTGTCAAGAATCTGGAAGGAAAAAAAAAGTTTAGCAGTGAGGTTCTTTCATTCTGGTGACAATCAGGTAATGGGAAATAAGGTGTGCGCTCATCTCAGCGCTGACTCTGCCATTCACACCTGCTACCACACATCATCTTGCCATTGAGGGAATTTGACATCTATTTTGTGGATTATTCAATATTAATTTTTCCTTTGCAGACAGCCTTTAATATGCTTAAAGATGACTTTTTTTTGTATAAATGGGAATAAAAATCCTTGTACTTCAGGAATCAAGTTAGATATTTTATTAGTTAAAAAGTCAGCTCACAAAGTCATGCATACCTAGGGTTTTAATAGGGTCACTATATTTCCAGTTCCAAAAAAGAGGATACCTGTTGGGAGGGGAAAATATGATGGGGGGGGGGGGCAGTTTCTAACTGTTATGGTAAACAACAAGTGTTATTGTCAATTAAAGCCACAGCTCCCTGCTCCTGCTGGTGCCCCTCACTACTAACCCATGGTCCCCCGTTCCCCCAGGGCCCTGCTGGCACCCTTCATTCCCAACCCACAGTCCCTCCCCAATCCCTGCTGGTACCTCTCACTGCCCCCAACTCTGCCAGAGGGGACCCCCAGCTGCCCCTGTCCCGACTGGGCTTGAGTGCAGCGGCTCGAACTTATGTGGGCAGCGGCAGAGCGAGTCCATCCCTGGCACAGGCTGGAGGGAGGAGGAGGGGAGGCCTGTGGCACCACCCGCCCTGGGCTGGGACTCCCTTGCTGTGCCAGGTAGCCTGGCCATGCCCCCCCATGTCTCCCCAGCAGTTTCTCCCAGCTGCCACACCTGTGCAAACATGGGCACTGGGCCCTGGCACCGCTGACCCACCCACAGAGCTCCCTGTTGCCCCCAAAGGCCTCCCCTACCCCCGCTGCAGGACAGATGCCTCCCCCTCGAGCCCTGCCACAACTCCAGCACCTGGACACCTTCCCCCAGTGCCAGGAGGCATCTACCCTGCCTCACACCCATCCCCTCCACACACCCCTGCCATAGCCTCCACCACCAGTACCCAAGCCCTTGCCTTCTAACCCCCTCTCCCCATAGACTTAGCTGCATCCACATGCCAGGGCTTATCCCGCCACCCTGCCTGGCTGTATGCCAGCCATGTGCATGTGCGCTCACATGGCACCCCGGCCTCCAAGCGCCCCAAGCAGCTCCTTGCTGGAAGGCTGCCAGTCTGCAAGGGGAAACCTGCAGTTTCCTCCTTTAAAGAGAAAAATACACATTTTTCCACAGCAAATGGAAAACCCGGATCCCTGGTAAACAGACACGCTGCTAGGGCAAGCTGGGAAATGCAGTTCTACCAGCAAAACTCCAGACATTTGTTCATATTTCAAAGAACTGCCTGGACAGAGATCAAAGGACCCAAAGAGAGGACATGTCCAGGAAAACCCAGATATATGGTAAACCTAGTTTTAAAGAGAAATGCTAAAAGTTGATTAAAATTGTGTCTTCCTGCAGTTCATAAGAATTGGAAAAATTTCTTGGTCTAATCCAGGCTTGTCCAACATACGGCCTGTGGGCCGTCATGAGGCCTGCCAAGCCATTTTCTGAGGCCCAAGGTCCCTCGCTTGGGACAGGCGGGTGGGGGAGGGGAGCTGCTCAACCCCACAGGGCTCGGCTCGTCATGCAAGCTGGTGCCTGGCGCAGGCAGTCAGCAGGGCAGCCCCGGGGGGGGGGCCCTCGGAAGGTGGGGTCTTGGCGTGACCTCTGCAGGGCGAAGCGTCGGGAGCCGGTGTCTGCTGGACCCTGCGCTCCAGGCTCGCAGCACTGAGACTGCAGGGGCTGTGTGCACAGGTGGCTGGGCACCACGGTATGCGGGGCCGTGTGGGCAGGCGGGTGAGGGCCTGTGGTGCAGTGGCTGCCTCGCTCTGGCCCCCCTCGGGCAGCGCCGGCTTGTGGGGCTGCTTGGGGATGGGGATGTGGAGCTATTTATTTCTCTCCTTCAGTCTCTGGGGCAGTAGCTGGCTGGATGCAAAATGGGTCCCTCCTGCCCCTGCCCACCAGCAGCTACCATGAACCTTGTAGTAACAGGCAAGTGCAGTAGGGCTGCACAGGCAGGGTCTCTGGCCCAGGACAGAGGGTGTTTGAATATGGCTCGCCGGCCCACTGGGTGATAAAGAGTTCATGATCCAGCCCCACATTCAAAAAGGTTGGACACCCCTGATCTAATCTAAGGTCTGAATCAAGCATGAGGAATGGCTTAAATTTTGGAGGTTCTACCTTTTTGGGAACAAGGTAGTTCAGAAGTGCAGCATGAACTTCAGCAGAAAGGCAGAGGGGAGACATCAGCAGCCCACTGCCCTCATCGTAGGAATTCTCCATAAACAGATCACTTTCATCACTGCTGGAAAGCTCTTCCCATTCATCATCAGAAGGATCTGAGAACAGAGAAACAGAAGAATACAAATCTGAGATCACACATTCCCAACCCCTGAGCTGTCACGTGCCAACCAGCACAGAAGGCCTCAAGGATTCATGTTGCAGTGAACTCTAAGCACTCATAGCCTCAAGTGCTTCACATGAGCATTACTTGAATTATTAATTCTTTTTCAGAAGTTAATGCTTATTTTAATGTTATTTTATTTTAAGTGCAGCAGCCTGGTGATTATCCAAAATGTCAGTTAAAAGTCCCCCGACCTTCCCGCTCCCACTCTGACTTGTGCTGAGTATGGTGGGTCCCTGACAGCACGTCCAGCAGTGACCTCTCAGGGAGCCCTGCTGGGACCCTGCTACTCTGGCTCTTTGAGCAGCATCAGGATTGTTTGTGGCTGCTCAAGCAGCAGCATAGATTTGTGGGAAAGAAATCAATTATCTGGAATGATGGTGTCGATAAGCAACAGTCTACTCTGTCATGGACTATGGGATCAAACAAAGCAATATTCATTCAAGGAGTGCATATGTAGAGGATAAAAGATTAAACTTTTTCATTAATATAAACATTTTCCCAATACACATTTACAGAATGTTCTAATAGGTCTGAGGTACCTGAAGTGACACTGATTTTAGCGCAGCCATTATTGAATGTGTGTGAAAGCCCATCCAAAAAGCAGGGCTCCAGAAACAAACAAACAGGGGCTGGAAAACATGGCCATATTTGTAAGCAGAATTCAGTGAAAAACTAGAGCAGTATATAATCTTTTATATTAATGGGCTTCTTTATCCGTATAATAAATGTCTCCTTGATCCAGTCTTTCCTCACACCAATCAAAGATATGCAGTATCTGGTACAATAAATACAGCGTAGTTCTGCTAACGAGGATACGTTCTAGAAGAGACTGGGTCTTGGTACTAAGAAGCATTTCTGTCCATAGAGGAAGTTGCATACATACATATATTACTTACATGCAACTCCATCTGGGGAGGCAGACAGGTAATCCAAGTCTCCCCCACTGCCAGATCCTTAATGTTGTGAATAAGGGGTGAAGCAGAGGGAGGAGGAACTGCTGTAAAAATTTACAAAAGATGCTGAAGCATCCTTCCTGGCCAACTGTGGTTATTCATGGCTTACAAATGAGCCAACTAGGCAATGTGTAGAGCCTCCTGCTTCTCAGTGCCAGTCATAACCCCAAAAAAGGAGGTTTCAAACTAAGCCAGTTAACTCCACCACTCCCAGAGTGAACTGGGTCTTTCCATGAATTCAATACATTGGCTAATGCTTGGAAATCATATCCCCAACAACTGAAAATTAAATGAACAGCCGTGTCTAGATTCTGCTTAATTCCTACAGACCTTATTCCGTCTCACCATGGATGGTAAAACACTGTAGCAAAGTAAGGTTGATTGCTTTGTATTTCACACCAAGTGAACAACAGCATATGCAGCTATCCACAAGAGATTTTCCAATTAAAGGAGAGAACCTACGAATTACAGTTCATTAGACTGGAAATCCAGTTTAAAAAGTACTTTCATTTACTATGTGCAGATTTTCTTGCACTGTTAGAAAAGGAAAAGAAACACCATAGGGAATATCTGGTGTTACTAGCATTTTCATCAGAACCAGCAAGGTTTACTTTAGAAGTTATCTTCTAAATGTGGGCACTAATGCAATTAATTTTATATTAGGGTCAGGAGCTGACACTAGAAATTAAAGTGAATAAGTGAAAATTTTACTGCAGAATTTGAGGACTACTCTCTTTATTTCTCAAGATTTGACAAACAAGTAGTAGAGACTAAACATAAAGAAAAATAATTAGGCAGTTGTCACTATCCAAGGAGGATAGTGAAAAAATATAATTATTCCTTTTGCAATTAAGCAACTATTTTTCCAAGAAAAATCTTGCATATGGAGAGCCCTCTAAGCTAACTGTACAACCCAGCTGCTGTCAGTACAAGTTTCATGCTGAAGCTTCTTTTCAAGTTGCTTCCTATGAAATTTGGATGTAGAAACAGTTAAAAAAAAAAAAAAAAAAAGTATATAAACTGAACAGAACAACAAAGTCAGCACAAGATAATGACAATTCCCTGACAAGACTGCAACTTCTGAGTGAAAGAGCAATAAGATTGAAACCCCAATCTGCACACCCATAGAATCCTGTTAATTCTCAAAAACTCTGGTCAGGGACCATCAACACTGCATAGATTCAAATACAGAATCAAAGCTTTAAAGATACTGAACATCCTAGAACATCAAAAGCACAAAAGAGAAAGGGTTTATGCAAATTACAGAAGTAATCTCTTAAAGACTACCAGAACACAAGATTTATTAATAAATCTCCTTTTGTTTAATAAGTGGTTTTGGAGAGCAGCTCATGCTAGCTAGTTTCATTCTTGCAAACCAGTAACATTATCATTTTCAAGAATCATAAACTATTAGTTTACATCATAAAGTACAGTAAGAAGTATTAGTAAGAAGGAAGATAATGTGCACTTTTCCTCAAGCTTTATAAATGGGTGTTTATTTCTAGCAACAGAAACAAAACTGAGGATGCAATTCTAAAGTATAAAAGAAGTGGGGGCAGGAAGAGAGGTGAGGCTAGACAAATTTAGTGGTGGTGCTCTCCATTATAAAACAATGCTTTGTTACTGTTTTTATATCATTAATATTAAAGTCAGAAGATATCCTTACAAACAGGACTCTTGGAAGTTAACTTGAAAATTACTTTTTGACATGTTCAAACTGACGTTTTAAACTAGTGGTGCTTCTCAACCTTTTCCCCCGCATGGGCCAGACAGGCAGTGAATGCCAGGTCTAACTGCACGCCAGATGGTGATTCATATCCAGTGTCTGGCCACATGGAAGGGGGTGGGAGGCAGCCAAGACTGAGCACGGCCCCCATGGAGGGGAAGGGGGGCTTCACCCAGCCCCCCGAGAGGACAGGGGAGGGGGAGGAGAGGACATGACCCAGTCCCACGGAACTCAACCCTGTGGGGGAAAAGGGGGCATGACCTGGGCCCAACCCAACTCCCTATGGAAAAACGCATGGCCCAGCCCCAATGGGAAAAGTGGGCGAGGCCTGGGCTCAACTCAGCCCCCCAGGGGAAAAGGAGCATGGCCTGGCCTGGCAGGGAAGAAGGAGGGGGGTAGGGGGAGTGGAGAAGGGACATAGCCCTGGCCCAGCCAGCTCCACAGGGGAAAAGTGGCCATGGCCCGACCTGATGATGGGGGTGGGGGGGTGGGGCATGCATGCACAGGAAAAGGGCATCACTGGCTCCAACCCTACAGAGGGAAGGGCGCACAGCTTGGATCCCAACAGGCGTGTGGGGCTATATTAATGGCGACCACCCCCATGCCACCAAATGTCTGTACCCGGGGGGAGCCCTGCAGTACACATGCAATGGCTCTGTGGGCCATATTTGGCCTGCAGGCCAGAGGTTTATACTGCTGAAAACTGTTCTTGACAATTGTAAGATGACTAGGGAAGTTCCTGGAAAAAAAAACGGACACATTTAAAGGAAAAGATCACTCTATTTAAAAACTTAGAGAAAAAAATGTAATGTTCACATACAGCTGCTACAGGAAGTCTCAATGGCTGTAATAGAGGAAACAAACATGCCTGAAAGCTTTATATAAAACTACTATTAAAAAGGCAAAAAAAATCCCAAATGTAAAACACAATACTCTAGTATTTTTGCAGTAATAAGAGATTCTAATCCACTGAGTTAGATTCTTCACACAGACAGGCCAGAAAACAGACATTCAATTTTTCAACATTATTCTGTTTCTTTAATATCAGTCATTTTTTATTTTGTAATCCAGCAAACGAACAAAAAAAATGTAGTTCTCCAGCTCCTAAATTAAAGGCATTTCCTAAGCTGCCTTTTAACGTTTTCCTATAAAAAAAAAAAGAGAGAGAGAGAGAAGCTCCAGATCCACATTCTCCTTTTTAACAGTGGGTTTGAAGAGCACCACCCAAAAAGTCAAAACTTGAACTTTAACTGCTGGTGGAAGAGAACCTGAGTTGTAGAGCCTGACTATAAAAAAAAGCTTTGCCAGGACAACTTTGCCAATATCTAGATGCAGTTATAGCAGTAAAAAGTGTTGTCTTTCTCTGCCCCCCCAGCATAGCTTATACTGGTTCATCAGGCACAGCAACAGCATAAAAAAGCTCTATCCCCACAACACAGCTGCACCAGTAATACTTTTAAGTGAAGACCTGGCCTTAATCTGTGAAGATCTTACACCAAAGAGGAGGGAAGTTTGAAACATATATATAGAATTAGCAATAAAAAATAGTCAAAATTAATGCTTTGAGACTCATACACCATAAGGGGCATTAAGGGCCGATAGTTATGTTTGTTCATCTTTAAGGATGAGATAATTATTAGGCCAAGTTAGAGAAGGTCCTAAAACCATCTGAATAAGTTTGACATGTTACTAACAAGAAAAGCTATGTTAATACTTGCAATGAAAAGATGCCTACATACCTTCGCTACTGCACATATTAACAACGATTTCCAGTGCAGTCTGCTGAGCCATCAGTAAAGCTGTCACTTGTTTCAGCTCCAATTTATCTGACTACCGAAAGGAAAAAAATAAATAAAAACTTAATTAGAGGGAAACCCTTCAGGGCACTCTGGTTTTGAATTAGCTAGATTGCCAACAAAAACAGATTAAACATGATACTTCCTGAACCACTGTCACATTAAAAACTACTACTCAATGTTATAGTTCTAGCATGTGCCAAATTTCGAAAGTTCCTGTTACTTCTAATATGCGTATTTTTTTAAAGGACTAATTCACCACCCATCAAAATCTAGCAGTTGATCTGTCCTTCCTCTTCTTGAACACAAAATAAAGCCTGCTCATTTTTTAATTAGAGTAAGACTTGTTTAAAAGCGACACTACCCATTTGCACTGGAATTTTACATGTCAGGGCTCTCTCTCAGTAAACTTTACTGGAATTCTCAGCCAAAACGCTTCAGCTATTTCTGAGCAAACCACTATGCAAAACTACCATATTTCCTTAAATACTTTTTTTTTTTTTTTTTTTTGTTACCCAAACCCCCCTCATCTTACATTCACATACAAGGAAACCTCATTAAATACACTGGTTATCATTAAATTGCTGCCAAAAGCAGTGTGTTAATGCATTTAATCAGATTCCCATTAGCATGGCCCATGTGGGGCAAACATGCTGATGGGAACCGTGCATGTGTGTGTGCGCGTGTCCCTTAAAAGACAGGCAGTTGCTCTCCCAGAAGTCAACAAGCACCAGGCCTGCAGGTAGTGCAATACCAAGTTGGCACTCAGAGTCTGGAACAGGCTCCAAAACCCTCACCTGATGCCAGAAATGCTGATGGGAACACATGTGTGGTGTGTGTGTCCTTTAAAAACAAAAAAACAGAAAGATGTCCCCTCCACACGGAACTGGCACCGGGCCTGGAAGTACTGCAATACCAGGCCAACACCGGGAGGACCAGAGCCAGCCCAAACACTCTTCCCTTGGTGCCAAAAAGGCTGATATTTTTTTTTGATTTTTTTTTAATATTTTGGAAATTTTTTCATGTTCCAGGTCAAATTAGCCAGATTAGTTCCAAATCCTTTTGACTGAGCAAAGTTCAATCATTCAAACACCATATGTGGCGCTGCAACTGGCAAGTATTCTCCACCCCAGACTTTTCACCCTGGGGAATTCAAGATACTTCCAAACCCATTGGCAGGCATCCTATGTGCAGGCCCAAGCCTGGAGGGTTGGGGTTCGGATGCCCCTGAGTCTCGCTTGCCTTCAGCCTATGGCCGCAGCAGCAAGCTAGAGAGGAGTCCCACATTTCCATAAAGTAGGTGTGTAGCCAAGGTCCTCCCACTGGAAGTTGGCCAGAGGGAAGCTAATTACAAGACAGAGTAGACCATGGTCTCCCTCCAGGACAAGGGAGGACCCGGGGACCTCCCATTCTGTCCAGCCACAGGGTTGGACCAAGGTGGTCAAGGGCCCCAAGGCCCGCCACACCAAGGCCCCTGCCCCGCTGAAGCTTTGCAACAGGTCCGAACCTCTTGCAGCCACAGCAGAGCCTGCTGAGTTGCCAGCTCCCGCAGGCAACACAGGCTCAACTGTAGCTACCGCTCCCGCTCCCCCTAACACAGAATGCAAAGTGTTTGTTGTGGGAGACTCCATCCTGAGGGGGACGGAGGGGGCAATCTGCCGCCCCAACCCCTTGGCCCGGGAAGTTTGCTGCTTCCCAGGAGCCCGTATCTGAGACATTGCAAAGAAGATCCCTAAACTCCTCCAGCCCACTGACCACTACCCTATGCTCCTCATCCATGTGGGCACCAATGACATGGCTCAGAACCCTCCCAGCCGGGTCATGAGGCGCTACAGGAATTTGGAAGCAGGGCTTAAAGGGGTTGGGGGCACAGATGGTGTTTTCCTCGATCCTTCCGGTTTCGGGCTATGGGCTGAGGAAGGAGAGGACGATCGAGGTAGCGAACCAAAGGCTGCGGCACTGGTGTCATCGAGAAGGCTTCGGCTTCCATGACCACCGCTCGCTCTTCAGTGAGAGAGGCAGCAAGCTGCTGGGAAGGGACGGCCTCCACCTCTCTCCGCTGGGGAGGAGGCTCTTCTCAGCCAGACTGGCTGACCTGCTCCACCGGGCTTTAAACTAAGCCCGCTGGGGGACAGGGGGACTACCGCCACTTCTGGCCCACTGAGCAACCCTTGCAAAGCCAGCAGGCCAAGGCACTTAAGGGAGCCTACCCCTGCTCCAGCCCTAGAGCAAGCTGCGGGCAAGGCAAGGGCCACCAAGGGGACACTTGCATGCCTGCATACCAATGCCAGGAGGTTGGGGAATAAACAGGAGGAACTTGTTCTCCTACTCAACACAAATAATTACAATGTCATAGGGATAATGGAGACCTGATAGGACTCCACCCATGACTGGACCACGGGTATAGACAGCCTGTACAGGAGGGATCGAGTGGACAAAAGGGGCAGAGGTGTAGCTCTCCATGTCAAGGAGAGCTACGCGTCCCTACAAGCCGACATTGGCACCCAGAGTAAACTACTAGAAACCCTCTGGGTTAAAATCCGTGGGGAACACGGCACAGGATATACAACTGTGGGAGTCTACTACAGACTTCCCTCCCGGAATCAAGAGATTGACCAGGAGTTCGCCAGGGAATTGGCTGAGGCTGCACACTCCCAGTCCATGGTTGTCATGGGGGACTTCAACTACCCAGTCATCACTCAGCCAAATCTGAACGGTCGCAAAGCTTCCTCACGTGCGTGGATGACCTCTACCTGACTCAAGAAGTCTACAGGCCAACAAGAGGCAAAGCACTGCTTGACCTGGTACTGGCAACCGGGGACGACCTAATCAGTGACCTAATGATCAATAGGAAGCTGGGTGACAGCGACCACAAGCTGGTCACCTTCACCATCCGCCATAAAGCTGGCAAGTCAGTAAGCAATACAGAAGTCCTCGACTTCAGGAAAGCTAATTTTGATAAGCTCAGGAGGCTTGTCAGTGAGATTGGCGGTCCTCCTGCGTCTAAAAAGACAGACCTACAAAGGATGAAGGACGGGATCCACATCCACAGAGGAATACTCTGCACTGGCCCAGACCTGCAGAGAGCAAACCAGGAAAGCCAAGGATGCCATGGAACTCCAACTGATAAAAAGTCCTTTTTAGATATGTGGGGAGCCAGAAGAAAAGCAAGGGCAACATTGGACCCCTGCTAAACCAAAAGAGAGAACTGACAACCGACGCCCAGGAAAAAGCCAACTTGCTAAATGGGTACTTTGCATCAGTCTTTCACAAGTCCCATGGGATGCCCCTGCCCATTACAGGACAGGGACACCTAAGTGAGGGTGGTTCCTTGCCCTCCATCAATGCTGACCTTGTGAAGGAACCTTGAGGCTGGGCGCCTTCAAGTCAGCTGGCCCTGACAATTTACACCCCAGAGTACTCAAGGAGCTGGCTAGCATGATAGCTCAGCCCCGGCACAGATCTTTGAGAACTCCTGGTGCTCTGGTGAAGTGCCTGATGATTGGAAGAAGGCCAATATGGTGCCTATCTTCAAGAAAGGGAGGAAAGTGGATCCAGCAAACTACAGGCCCATCAGCCTGACCTCTATCCTGGGGAAAGTCTCAGAAAAAATCATCACGGAGGCCATTCTTAACAAACTGGTCGATGGCAACACCCTGAGGGACAGCCAGCACAGGTTTGTTGCGGGTAGGTCGTGCTTGACCAATCTCATTTCCTTTTACGACCAGGTGACCCATCACCTGGACAAGGGGGAAGAGATTGATGTCGTATAGCTCGACTTTAAAAAAAGCCTTCGACCTTGATCACTTTTTGGCAAAACTGGCCAACTGCGGCCTCGGGTCCACCACGCTCCACTGGCTGGGGGAATGGGCGCCGCTGCGGCCTCGGGTCCACCACGATCCACTGGCTGGGGAATTGGCTCCATGGTCGGACCCAGAGGATGGTTGTTGACGGAAGTCAATCATCATGGTGCCCTGTGACCAGTGGGGTCCCTCAAGGCTCTGTCCTTGGACCTATTTTGTTCAACCTCTTCATTAATGATGTAGACACTGGAGTCAGAAGTGGACTGGCCAAGTTCACTGATGATACCAAACTCCTGGGTAAAGCATCCACTCCTGAGGACAGGAGGGTGATCCAGGCAGACCTTGACAGGCTCAGGAAATGGGCAGATGAGAACCTGATGGTGTTTAACACCGAAAAATGTAAGGTTCTCCACCTTGGGAGAAAAAACCTGCAGCATGCTTATAGGCTTGGCAGGCTTGGAGTATGGCAAGACTGTGACAAAAACACCCAGTTCGAGTCATGACTGGGGGCTAATTAGCACGTGTTGCAATAGCACAAGGCTGGAGTTGCCATGAAGACTGGGCCCAGCCAGGCTGGCAGAGCAAGGCGGGGGGCTGCTCCAGAGCCACTGGGATCTTGCAGAGGGGGCAGCTTGGTCTGGGGCCAGGGCAGAGCCATGATCTACAACCTTCATGCTCTGGGCAGGGGCGCATAGGCAGCGGATCGCAGCTATGCCCTGGCTCCTTGAAGCACAGCCGCAATCTGCTGCCTACGCACCCCTGCCCAGAGTGTGCAGGCTACAGGTCACGGCTCTGCCCTGGCCCTGGATCAAGCTGCCCTGCCACAAGATCCCAGCAGCTCTGGAGCAGCCCTCTGACCTGCTCTGCGGGCTGCCAGCGCAGCTGAGGCCAGTCTCCATGGCAACACCAGCCTTGTGCTATCACAACACAACTGTGGCTGGGGTCTCCATGGAGACCGGCCCTAGTCATGCAGCAGGGGCTGCTGGGAAATGGAGTCCAGCTGCTGGACAGATCCACCATTTTGCCCACCCTGGCTTAAATGCTGTTGACTCTGCTGGGGTCCAAGCCCAATGAACTATATGGTAAATCATAAGGTTTCTGGCTTTGGACTAATATCATATGTAGTTTAGATCACATAAATCTTTCGCCTTGTACTATTTATAACTAGATACAAAAGTACCTGTGCTAACACTTGTAGCAGTTTCAAAAAGTGCAAAATGCATCAATTCTAGGTGAACTAAGTCTATTGTAAATTACTACAGGTATGTTTATTTCAAGATCAGTGTTTTCAAATGTGCTCCTTGCTTCTACATGCTCAGGGAGACGAGGGTCTGACAGGAAGGAAGGGACCAAAGGTCTGCAGGAGGAAGTAGAGGGGCTGAGGGCAGAAAAACTACCTCACCCCCATTTTATTTTCCCTGCTGTAGCAGTGGGAGGGTGACAAATTCAAGGCAAACCTCCAATAATTAGATTCTATGCCTGGAAATCATAATTTTTCCAATTATAGAATCTAATTATTAGGTCGGGGGGGAGGGGAGTCATCTTGTATTCAAGTAAATACAGTATACTGTTTTCCCATTTTTAAAAATGCTGGTGGCCTTTTCTTTGAAAAACTCTCTTACCCCAAGCTCTAGAGCAGGGCCTAGTATAAAGAATGAACCTTCTGCCATGAAAAACTGGCCAAATTCACCTTACAAGCCTCTGAAATATTTCTCTCTCCAATGTACTTAGTAGTGTCCCCCAGCAAGCCCAAGCTATCTGGAGGTGAAAGCTGTCCAAATGTAACAGGGACAAGATCCAGAGCTTGGCTGGGGTTAGAAATTAGTACTAGCTGCAGAGGAGGGGAGATGTAGGAACTTGGACTGGCAATAGAGGAATTGGGACTTGCTGGGCAAAGAGACTTTTGGAACCAAGTTGAGATATTTGAGCAGTAGAGACTGAGACACGTGGAGAAGTGCTAGGAATAGGGACTTTATGTAAAAGAACGTTATTGCTCATAGGCTCGAACAGCGAGTAGCCTCCAGACTAAGGGAAGAGGTGGGG